AAACATTTCCACTCCCTTATTGTAGGGTCATGGTTCACATCTTCCAATCAACTTGGAAGATGTGATTTACTTCCGGTTTCTTTCTCCCGGGCTATCCTTATGCTCCTCCCTCTTTCTTGGTTGCTGGTTTAACTATATAAATACCAGACAGTTCTGCACATTGTCAAAGCAAGAATATACAGTATTTGCAGCGTTGACAAATAGCAATAAGACTTATATACCACTTCACTGTGCTTTACAACTCTCTCTAAGCAGTTTACAGAGTCAACATATTGCCCCAACAATCTGAGTCCTCATTTTATCAACCTTGGAAGGATGGAAGGCTAAGTCAACCTTGAGCTGATCAGGATCAAACTGCTGACAGTCAGCAGAGTTAGCCTGCAATACTGTATTCTAACCCCTGCACGATGAGATGTACTTCAACACATCTTAATGGTATCAGGTTAGGGAAAGCTGACCTAATGATCCACTCTGCAGTCTCCAAGCCAACTTCCCAGGTCTTAAAGCAGCTTTCTTGCTGCTTTGCAGATATGTTGAATGAATTTCCATAAACCCCAGTCAGTATGGCTCTTTTTCATGCTAGCTGGAAATGTCAAATTCAACATGCAGAAGTCACCAGCTTGGAGGAGGCCTCTCTAAAGTATTAAACATTCTTATCAAGATCTGTACAGATTTTCTTCAAAATCCCAAGTATTAGTGTTGTTGAGTTCAATTGGTGGGGTCATGTATCAAGTATGAATTTTGTATCATGTTTCTGAAGTACAAATGTTAATTACTAATAATACTCTGTATATATTATTGCCTGAAATTGTAACAAAACTGAATATGATTGATAAACTGTTTCTACTATTTACAAAACAATAAGTTCACATCTAGTACAAAGACATGAAAAAGGTATTATGACCTGACCAATTGAACTCAATAGCACCAATCCTCCTTCTTTCAAGAAGCAAGCTTGAAGCAGGACTGTTCCAAGGAATTTGGGGTCTGCAGTTTTGTTTGGATAGTCATCATAGCAGAATATTACTAAAAATCATTATTTGAATACTGTTTTCAACCATTAAAATCCCAAAGAGTCTATGTGGATTGAAAGAACCTACAAATGTTATTGGTTTAAAATAAATAAACAATTCTAAAAGAAGAGAATAAGAAATAGAAAATTTCTGAGATATGACAGATGTGCAATTCCAGGTGTATATATCAATACAATCTATTCCTCTCCAGTCAGTAACTTAATTCCGTTCCATCAAGTTTTCATTCAAAGAAACAGCTACAAGACTTTTCAACATGTGAATATTGCAACGTGACTATAATTGTGTTTTAATTGTATAAATCTACATAACAATAATTAATTGTAATTATTATTGTTATAATAATTACAATTAACGAGGGAGAGGAATTGAAATATTACACTTGATGTTAGCCCAAAGGCTGAGAAATGATGAAGTTGAGAAAACTAACTGCAGCCAGGCATAAATGCTTCTCATTCCTTTTCCCTCATTCTTCAACTCACAACTTTATTCACAAGCATACAAACTTGTGTTTCACCTGCCTGCAATAATTGAGCCACACCATGGCATTTTCAAGAGTTGTACAGAGGAAGCTTCCAAGTTCTTAGCTTACCAAAGCCAATTCTAAGAATGGGTGTGAGTATGTAGGAGAAAAGAAGATAGGAAAATAGCAAGCAGGCGAGAGAGCGGGAGGTGATGTCTGAAGATTGACAGCTATTACAGCCAAACCAGAGGACTATCATTCAATTGCCAGAACCACAAGCTATGGTAAGCAGCACATCCTGATGGAATTCCAGGAACTCGGCTTGGAAGTTCAGCTGGAGTACTCAAAAACAACACTGCTTAAGAGCAGAGCTTGGAGGCTGGAGCTTGGCCTGGAGCTCAGCAGCAACTAGAAAAGAGCATCTCATCCCAACTATTACAAAAGACAAAGATTGTATGCCACTTTACAGACTTTTATTTCAACCAAATATGAAAAGGACTGAATATAAAAGATTGAGTGTTAAAGACACATTTACATGGTGAAATCACCTCGCAAAGCCAAGAAGACTGGAGTTAACCCAGACTAATAGCCTATTATTGGAAAAGGTGTTAACTATAACAAAACACTGTATACAGATTTGTTACACTGTGGTACATCCAGTCCTTGGAAAATGAAGAACATTCACACAGTATTCCATGTATTTGAGGGACACCGTGAATACTATGGTGGACTCTTTCCTCAAGCTTCATTAGAAATTAGAAAGATAAGCTAGTACACTCAGTCCATTAGTATGGCATATGATGGGACAGTAGAAGAAGGTAGAAGATAGGTGTCGGCACTCTGTATGTTAAGGTCCATAACAGCACAAAGATGATATGCATGGTGAAAAACAGATAGCATCAATGTCCAAAACAGATACGATTTTTGGAGCCACAGCTGAAAATTACTGTGAAAATATGCATAAGAAAATAGCAATCAGAACTTACTTGCATTAGAACAGCTACAATAGCCGCCCCATCAGTTTTTCTCAAAGCATCAGCATAATTACTATATGAGGAATTCCAGTGTATCAAATGAATCTAAAAGCAAGGAAAACATTATAGTTAGATATCAAAACAGGCCTTAATGGAACTTGGCAAAATTTCATAAAATTCTTTGCATTTTCCAATATCTATCTGAATCTTATCAATGAAATGAAAATCAAGTTAAACATTTTAAAAAGTTAAAAATAAGAAACATACAAACTGTATTATGCATTATCTAAGTATTTTTGTTCTTTTAGAAAAAATGTTTAAAATGATAGGGTCAAAAGGTAAGATTACACAAAATTGCCAAATTTACATTAAACGGTTTTGATACTACCATTTTTCTCCAACCAAACATCTTTCAGACTATAATTCTCAGACAATATGAGCAATGGCCAAACAAATCTGAAATTATGAGTCATCACATACCTTTGGAAGCATATAAAATATATTGAACACCCATGGTTTAATTATTTTCAGGATAACATCAAAATACTATAAAAATTCCCATTAGTGGTGCTTTCAACATATCAAGTTGTAACGACTGACAAATAATATATATAGACTTTTTACATATTACATATTCTGAGACAGGACATCTTTTATGAATAAATGCATATGCATCTACATGTATATATGTAATTAGCACCTGTTTTGATAAATGCGCCCAGCCAATTTCCATTTTCATTTTAAAAAAGAACGCTGCATCAATCACTATGTATGCTGGTTATATAGATATCCTCATCTGTATACTGACACAGATATTGATGCTACTACCCCAGTCTTCTTATATTCTCCGGTCATTTGGGAGTCTTGAAAAGAACACATCTGAACTTTCAAATTGAGATCCAACCCTATTCTGCGTGTCAATTGGAGTTTGAATTATTATTTATTCACCAGAAGAAATAACTTGTTTCTTTGCCTAGGACAAGTTAATTCAAAGACTTAACATGTTAACACTGAAAGCATGCATGGAACATTAAATCTGATGTCCTTTATCTCTGGCCACCAACCATGAACCCTGGTGGAACCTGATTGAAACTGCAATTCATCCACATCTAGAGGACAACTGGCTTCCCATCTCTGCTAAGCCTTTATTAGACTATCTGCACCTGGTTTTCTACTGATAAGGGGAGATCTTCCAGTATTTTCCACAGAACCTACTCACCTCTCCTGCATGCCTTTTTGCATCCACCACATGTTCTGAGCCTTTTTCACTGGTAGAACCCCAGTGGATGTTAAGGTGACGGAGCCTGTAAATCCCAGGAAGTGGTCCTCCCCTAATCACTGCAAAGAATATTCTAGATTAACAGGAGATTTTGCTGTGCTATAACACACGGTACAACCATAAAGTAAGATGAGCATTTATGAACATCTCTTGCCAATATTACTGATGGCAAAGGGGACATCTCATCTTCCACTGCATTTCCAATCCAATGTTCATAAGACAGGGCATCTTTAGTCAACCACCTACCTTTAGCACATTGGCAGGTGTATGTTGTGACATTTAGTATCCTTTTTTTCTGCTTTAAGATTCCAAGTTGTATCAAGTGATTGGTTTAGCCATAACTGAAAATATTCTAGGAAATATTTTGATGGAGAAGAACAATGTCCATTGCTTTGGCCAGAGCCATGCTATTCCCCCACACCCAACTGATCATCAGATTGAGTATTATAGTGTTTTGCCATGATATTTTGCCAATATTAGGAACAATGCATGTACAAGATACAAATTGTCATCTAACAGTAGATGCCAATTATGAACAGGCAGTATGACTGAATTTACACATTTGTCACTTCTGATTTAATTAACTTTTTGCACCTTAGGTTAGACTGGCCTTTGGCCAAAATTTATATCCTTCCTATCTATAAATCTTGTCTTTCCACTTAATGAAGAACTATATGTAGTAACTAGAAAGGATCTGAAATGTAAGGTAACTTTTCATATCACAGAAAAGTGTTTGGGAATTTCCTATATGTAACACTTTATTCAGTCGATGAACAGCAAAAAAATTAAATATTGCAACATGAAAGATAAATCAAATAGAGCCAGTTTGGTTTAATTATTAAAGCACCAGGATAGAAACTAGAAGAGTGTAGTTCTAATCTTGCCTTAGGCATGAAAGCCAGCTGGGTGACTTTGACCCAGTCACTCTCTCTCTCTCTCTCTCTCTCTCTCTCTCTCTCTCTCTCTCTCTCTCTCTCTCTCTCTCTCTCTCTCTCTCTCTCTCTCTCTCTCTCTCTCTCTCTCTCAGCCCAATTTACCTCCCAGTGTTGTTGCAGGGAAAATAGGAGGAGAAAGGAGTACTAGGGTTAGGATTACGAAGGCAGAGGAACACATTTCAGTTGTAAAGCTGTACTAATTAGGGTTGCAATGTTTCCCTTGGATCTCCCTCCCACTTTACTTGGGGTAACCAAGATTGAATTTGCCCAGTCACTTCTACTCCACCTCTGTTGAGGCCCAGGTTTCCTGTTAAAAAAAATGTATCAAATCACATTACGTAATCAAAGAAAGGATGGTCTTTTCATAGTTCTGACCAGCCTGCTATATTCCAAATTAATAGGGAAATCACATGAGCATCTGGTAAGAGTAATATGAGCAGGTTTTAGCAAGCCAATGTTGTAAGAGCATAATGTTGGGATGGTGAACCAGAGAAGGTCAGCAGGACCTCTGCCAAGCAAATCCTGTGGTTGCTCATGGAAATCCACTTCTCTGGTGATAAAGTTGGCACCATCCAATAGTACTTGCATCGCGGCAACTTCATTCAGTGTTCTTGGATGTGGAGTTCAGGTATTATGATGATCCTGCATGGGATCTACTAAGGAGGGGTTATTTATAATCATTGAGGAATATGTCAATAAGTTTCCATACAAGTCTTAGGCTGGTGTGATACGGAAATGCTTTAGGGGCAAATGTGTGGCTCTCTTCCTCATCACCAAGGGCACCTGGACTCAAGCTGATTTTCACAGATGATTCTGTAGGGGATTTTTCTGATTTGCAGTTATGGACCTTGTAAGGAACTCAATATAGAGAATATCTCCTCAATAGTATGTTTTAAATACATAAAACCAATTATCATTATTAATTAGAAAAACATTTTAAAAGTTTTATTTAAAAATTAATTATAAAAACATTATAAAAAATTAAAATTATTAAAAAAAACAGAACAAGCAGGAAATAACAGCAAAGGATGTTAATAATGGCATAATCAGGTCTTAAGGGATTGTGAAACTCGAAAGTGATGAGGCCAGTGTCACCTCAGAGTAGATTCTACAATGTGGGCACACCACAGAAAAGGCCATCACCTCGGGCCCCTAGCTTCCTAGCTGACAGAACCTACAGTATAACATACTCTCTCTGCTAGAGTCTGGTGGAACAGGCAGCTAGAGATGGGAAATCTTCAAGAAACCCAGCCCCTACCATGACAGGCTTTAAAGGTCAACAAAGTATCATGAATTGGAGTCAGAAAGAGACAGGTAACCAATGCAGCTCGAAAAGCACACACAATTGCTCATGATACCACATTTTGCAGCAGCTGAAGTTTCCAGTTACTCATCAAGGACAGACCCATGCACAGCACATTGCTGCAGTCTAACTCAGAGGTCATCAGGGCTTGAGTGACCATGAATAGGGTCCTTTGATCCAGGAAAAGACGCAACTGGCACACAAAACAAAGTTGTGCAAAGGTCCTGCTAGCCAAGATTGCCACCTGCTCACTGAACCAGAGTGATGAGTCCAGGAGAACCCCCTCAGATTGTGTAGAAGGTCTGTTTAGGATAATGCAATCCCATCCAGCACCAAAGATGGTACAGTTCCATTACCAGGAGTTCTCAAAATCCAAAGCCAATCAGTCTTCCCAGGGTTCAGTTGAAGCCTGTTGTTCCCCATCCAGACCCTCACAGCCTCCAGGCACTGCGATAAAACATCCACAGCATCACTAAACTTGTCAGGAGCAGAGATGTACAACTGGATGTCATCAGCATATTGATCATACATCACCCTATGGCAATGGATGAGCTCACCCAGTGTCTCATGTAGATGTTAAATAGGAGGATAAAGAACACCAACTCTTGGAGCATACCACATATAGGAGCCTGAGGGCAGGATCTCTCTTCCCCAATCACCACCAACTGGAATTAACCCTGAAAACCAGCCAAACATCATGCCACTCTCCCCCTGTCTTTTGAGTCAATCCAGAGGGATACTGAAAGCTGCCGAGAGGCCAAGTAAGGTAAGTATGGACCCACATCCACCATCACACCCACACTAGAGATCAAAATCGTGACCAATGCTGTTTCCATTCCATTCCCAGGTCTGAATCCTGATTGAAAAGGATCCAGGTAATTAAAATATACCATTATAAAGGAACATGAAAGTGAAAGGCAGCAGCTCAGAAAAGTATGTGTTGCTGGACTGATGCCATGGCTTTCTCCTCCTGACGTTTTTCTCCTACATATTTTTAAAAGATGCTCAGTATAACACATAAGCCAAGATAATGACAATGTAATTCTACACTGTGTCCACTTCTGTAGTCAGACGAGAAGGTCTAATTTATTAAGATTATATTTCCCTGTCTCAATGTCAATGTCAATTAAGGGAAATGCAACCAGTGAATGAACTTATAGGCAGAACTGTACAAAAGCATTGTGCACTTCATCCCCAAGGCAAGCACCAGACAGGACAGAAGTCATATGATATGGATTGACCGACTACTTGGTATGGCCTTCTAGCTATGGAAAAAAATTATTTGCATGAAAAAAATCAGTATCAAACTATTTCCAACATATCAATAAAATTCTTCTCTCAATTTGCACTCAACTGAGCTATAAAGAGCTACAGTTTCACACAACTGCTTCCTGCACAATTAGATCTCTATGTATTGTATTTAGTTTTAGATACAGTCATGAAAATACCTAAGTAATTTCTGAAATGCTCATAACTTCTCTGAGTACTTATGTCTAATTTTTCACATTTTGATGCCATTATTACCAACCTATATGTCTATGCCATTGGACTGTGGACTAATTACCACCAAATTTCCAAGGAGTCAGTGACTATCCTTTTTGCAGACTTGCTTAAACCTCTCATTAGTTATATAACTGAATATATATTTTTCTTTTTTTTGTTGTTGTTTGCTTGCTGCTTCTTTAACAGAGAAGAAAAATAAACAGGGAGCCTTGTGATTTTGTGCTGTCTGGATAAAAAAATAACATGGCATCTTCTAAGTGTACACTAATTCCAATAGCATACATCATCTATTAAATATGAAGGAAACAGGCTATTTTTCAGGGTGTAGGGTGGCCATGTATGCAATTATCTTATCATGCATCTTGCTATCACCTGAAGCAAGTACTCCACATTGTTCACCAATAGGGCCAGCCTTGAAGAGAGTAAGTGTAGAAGGACAATTTTGTTCCAAGAGTTTCTTTACTAAGAACATTAAAGAATATGGAGTCACGTGACCTGGTTCTTCCTCAATTTAAACAATTTTTAAAAGTAAAATAAACAATCCAAATATGCAACAAGTATATAGGGACAGTCCTTGCAAGCTCAGCCAATGATCATTTCAGGCTTTTATAAAATTATCCTTCAAATAAAGGTGAACATAGTTTCTGGAGGTCCATTCCTAGATTTCCCTTTCCTGTGTTAGTATTTTTAAGAGAGTATAAAAGCATCCTTTAATACATCATTAAAGAAAAAAAATGCAAATTATATTACATCACTTATTTGAACTTATAGTGTATAGGTCTAGATTTAAATATAGTTATAATTTGAACAATTTATAGATAAGTACCCTCACAATACTAAGCAATGCTGGAACCAAGTGAATGATATGCCTGTTCCACATGCTAGCCAGATGCTAATTATAATAGTAATTGTCAAGGTGCATCCATTCCTTCTGCTTATAGGACTTAATATAGATAGCCCTTCACACAGAAGATGTCTTCAAACAGTAGACTATTCTCTATAAAAATAAAATAGGAAAGTACTCTACTACAATGGTTTGCCAAAGCTAAGCCAATTTGATCAAAATCTCAGTAAACCCAAAGTCATGTTTAAGCAACAACTCTATTATGGTAGGATCTGCAACTTCCTCATTAACTCACTCCACCCAGTTTTAAATTCTATTCAGTTCAATTCAGATCTGTATAATTCATTGCTGTTCAATGTGGTGATAGACACCAATTTAGACAGTTTTTAAAAGAATAAAGAAGATAGGTATATCAATGGGTATTCTATTTTCTGATTCATATGCAGCATACTTGAAAGCCAGCTGCAAAGGAGGAATAGTGAAAAAAGTACTTTTCTGTCCATCCTGTACAGTTATTTAATGTACTTGGTTGGATACTATTTATTTGCATAAAAATAAAGGCAAATGCTCCATTCTTCAGGCATGGAATAAATCTATTAATAACTTGCCAATAAAAACCTTCAAATGCTCATCTATTGTCCTCACAGCAAAAGAGAGGAATTTAAACCCATGCATTTTTCTTAACGGCAACATTTTTATGACAATAGTCTAGGTTAGTGTTCCCCAACCTTTTTGGCCCCAGGGACCAGTTTCATGGAAGACATTTTTTCCACAGACCAGTGGGGGGGGGTAGGAGTGTGCAACCTAGATCCCTCTCATGTGCAGTTTACAGCAGGGCAGGGGAGTGGCTGCAAATACAGATGAGGCTTCACTCAGTCACCCACTGCTCACCTCCAGCTGGACAGCCTGGTTCCTGACAGCCTGAGGACCATACTAGTCCAGGGCCCCGGAGTTGGGGACCCCTGGTCTAGGTCACATAAAAAGCAACTTTTTAAAGCCTTTTTTTTTTTTTTTTTTACAAAAAACAACAACTATAGTACTCTAATTCTGTCAGTTCCTAACAAAACACTACAACACTGAATAATATTTTGTATAAAGTACTTTGAAAATTCATTATAAAAAAAATCCTTAGTACATTGTGGTATCAGTGAATGGCACTGATTGAGCAAGCCAGGAATGTTATCCCGCTTCACATAAAGTCATGGGAAGACCACACTATATTGATACAAAGGTTTGAAAAAGCTTCATATATTGTCAGATTTACAGTAACAGGTGAGAACCACAAGTGAAAAAAAAGGAAGCTCAGCCCTCCCTTAGGGACAAGTGATGGCTTTGCAGTTTTGTTTTATGATTAAAAAAAAAATAAACAGTATAACACAGTTGGCCATGTCAATAACAATGCAATTAACAGGTCCAAGAATAAATAGACAATTGGCATGTTCTTTGAACATAACGGTCAATAAAGTCAGCTAAGAACTTTTGACAATGATATGGTGGACTTTTCTGAGATGGAAATGCCTATCTAAAATACTGCTCATTTTCATAATGCCCAAGAGTGCCATTTATTTCATGAATTCAGGTCATGTTGAATTCAAAGAGAAGAGATTATTGTAGCATAGCATTCTGGAAACAAATCTCGGTTTTGACCTAAATTGCCCCTGCCCATGAGTTTTAACTCTAGGCCTCCTGAGATTCTAGCCGCACATTCTTTTGCAGCCTAAAAAGGAGAAAGCACCCGACTCCGGTGGGCAGAAAGCTGATCACTACCGCAATCCCAGAGGGCCTTTGTTTGAAGCAACATTCAAGTCTTTTGACTGCCAGCAATAGCATGGAATTTCAGAGTTAATGCTACCACAGAGCTCAACCTTTTGTGTCAGAGCATTGCTGGTCTCTCACCAGTGATTAATATCTATGTACTTGAATACCCGAGGATAAAAGATATGTTAAGCATAGGGCAAAAGGCTTAGCTTTGTCTTTTCTTTAGCTGGCATTGTGATGTTGGCCAGTCCAGAACAACACCATCTCTCCCTTTCAGCTTTGGAATTCTGTTCATTTTGATTGGTGGTACTGAAGCACTCATACAAAAGGACATCATAATCAATTAAATGTAATGATGCAAAAAAAATATATCCAAGGGCTACAGTACATGAGGAAGGGATACATTCCATTGTAGCCATACAATGCAAAGTGACAAAGGGAACAAAAAGGCACATGATTTGTTCCTTCTCACAAGAGCATGAATAGCAGATACTCCAATGAAAAAATGTAACCTTATAGCCAAGAATTCACTCCAACAAGAGAGTAGATAAGAACCGCCATAAAGGAAAATACAAAATACAAATATTACATTGACACTGCAGCAATGCAGACACACAAAAGCAAGAAAATACATTTCTGTACATGAGTGTGCAGAGGTTCTAATCCTTAAACATTTGAAAGCACTTACAGTCCATGAGGACTGTATCTTAACTGTGCTGTTAAAACAAGCCTTACAATCATATCACTGGTCCAAGTATGGTCAGTTTTCCAACATTTCTTTTAAAAGCAAAAAACTGCTGTTCTGCAACTCCTTTTCCACTTTCTGAGAAAAGGTTGTTGCTCTCACCCTATACCAGAAAATAAAAATCAGCTTCATGGACAATGCCATGGACTAATGAGAAAATTTTGATATTTAACCACAGATGCATATGGAAAGAATCGTACAGATCACAGTAAAATGGCATTCTTGCAATCTATTTCCATGTGAATTGCAAGTCTAGGGATTAATCTAATCAAATATTGTGGCAGAAAAGACTAACACCCAAAATCATCTTCTAAAGGCTTTAAAATAGTTAAATGAAACTATTGGAAATATAGAGTAGGATTCATTCCAAAGCAAGCAGAACTGAATCAAGTGATGTACAATTTGGCTGTTTGGAATTTTTGCTGACTAGAAATTGTTTATTGCATTTACCTAACTGTTCATTATAAGACTTATTTTATGTTTATTCTTAAATTTCTTTCTGCACTTGTGACTTGTTCCTTGTTTTGTGATTGCTTTGTAAGCAGCTTTACCCTCTTTTGAATAGAAAAGGCAGAATTGATTTCTCTCTCTCTCTCTCTCTCTCTCTCTCTCTCTCTCTCTCTCTCTCTCTCTCTCTCTCTCTCTTATATAAACAAATTATACACATTTCCATTAGGGGAGAAAGCAGAGGAAGGAGGTAGAGGCAAGACAAAAATAGAAAAATTATAATGAACAAGATTCTAATTTAAAAGGCTGGGAAAGGCAACAGGAAAGAGTAGAATAAGATGATCACCAGTAGGGTGAATGGACTCAATTACAACAGCAAGGAATGCAACCCCTTGGAGGAGCTGAAAGATCAGATTAGGGACAGACCATCAAGGAAATTGATCTGTGTAGTTGCTAAATGTTGACAATGACTTAATGGCATGTTATCAATCAATCTGACATGAAAGTATAGTAGTGCTTATGATTTTTAATAAAATTGACAGTTAGTGACTTCCTATGTGAGTTGGTGGGTGGGAAGTTGGAGCCTTTGAGCCAGTTTTTTTTTATTACTGGCAACTGTCTGAACAAGTCCCTGCAGTTTTCTCCACAAGAGTCTGGAAGTGGTTTGCCACTGCTTCCTTTCTAGAGAGGAGAACTGGCTCAAGGTCACCCAGCTGGTTTTGTGCCTAAGTTAGGACTAGAACTCATAGTCTTATGGTTTCTAACCTGATGCCTTAACTACTACACCATCCTGGCTCTCTACTTTAATGCACTCCAATTCAATTACATGTGATCAGATTGGGATGCAAAATCAGGAGGACTGCATCTATCATTCTACAACACAGAATAAACACTGAAGGACAGAATAGGAACAAAATCCCAACTTTGCTGAAAAACATTGGGTTTCAAATGTTTGCAGACTTACTGCAAATTGACTGGTGACATGGATGGCATATCTCTCGAAATTGGGAAAATATCCCTAGAGGCAGAGGAAAGTAAATAATCCAACAAGCACAATATGCAACAAATCACTCATCTTCCATCAGCTGTTTCTGTGTTTGGGAGATGAAGCCTTCCTTAGAAGATTATTTCAAGATTATTATTTTATTTTGTAGGCTTAACCGCGATTACTTTTGCAAACATTTACCAAAGTAAACTTACCTGAGCGATCAAAAGTGTCATCAAATCCAATCCGCAGTGTTTTCCCAGTGTTTCTTATGTTCTTAGCTGCACCTGGATCATAGCCAGTAAACCAAGGCAGAAGAGCAGGATCTTTGAAGACATCTTTGCTAAGAATTGCAACAGGTGACTGGTTGTTCCCTTTGGCTATGGGGTAAGTTTCATGCCAGTGATCAGGTCCTGGGATGGAAACAAAGGTGTGTCATATTCTGTACCATATGGCAGCCTTTCCCAACAAGTTGCCCTTCAGCTATTTTGATATTCTAGCCCCAGATGGCTACAATGCCTGTTCCAACACCTGAAGGACATGAGGCTGGAAAAGTCAAATGAACAATGTTAAGCACTGCCCTATCCCAAGACGATTTAGTCTTTACAATTACTTCTTAAAGGGTTTTTAAATCTTGGAGGCAATGACTACTGTTACAGTTTCAATCACCCTTTCTATTCCTTATTAGAAAACAAGAAATTAAAACTAGATTTGAATTTAAAACAAAGCCTGCAATCCTACATAATCTGACAGGAAATTGCACCAGACTCAATGAGGTTTCCTTCATATAGATTCATGTAGAAAAAAAAATTAAAAAACATGCAGTGCTATTGATAATTTTCACACTGCATAAACTTTTGCTAATTAGATGCAAAATGGGTGAAGTGGCTAAATACCTTCCATCAAATTTCTGTATTAGGAAAACTTTCATTTATTTAAAATTCAAAGAACATTGTTGAGACTGTATGATCATCATAGGAATAACAGACAATAAGGATTCTGCTTAGATTTCTTCATCAAGTCCACTTTCTTGAGTAAAGCAAAAAATCCATTTGGAAATCAGTTCTGCATATATGCAGTATAAAGTTCCAATGTGATTCCCTGGAAATCTTAAAACAACAATTTTTTGATGTCTACTAAAAATAGGCCACATTAAAGTCAAAGGGGCTTTTATTCAAGTGCAATTAATTTAGAACAGGTAGGATAGCAAAACTATATATTTCTAAGAAGTGGCAGAGTTACTATAGCAGCACTTAATTGTAGGCAGAGGCACAGTGTTATACAAAGCAGTGAATCGTGTTTTTTATTGCTATATATTCAAGCCTGGGATCTAAGTGAAAAACAGGTTCTGGAATGTCATTCTGAGTGCACAGACTAATCCTGCCTCCTCCCATGGGGTATCCTTCAGAGGTTTTTTCCTGCTGATTGGGAATGACCAGAGTACTACTAGAGTAGAGAAAGGTGTTGCGTATTTACTTTCAGTGAAGACTTATTATTGGGCTGGGAATGATTAACTGGGGAAAACGGGCATTCCCACATGGAAGAATTTCCCCTTCTCTCAAGAAGAATGTTATAGCGGGGGGGGGGGGAACCTGATCTCACCCATCAGGCAGTTACCACAATAGTCCTCCTGAAAGCCTTTTCTATTTCAAGTGCATTTATTAAATTGTAGACTCATAAGCAAAAAATGTTCCCCTTGGTGCGAAATTTCTTTTTTTCTCTCTCCTATTTTTCTTTCTTTTTCTTTTTTCTTTTCAATTTTACTGCGTTATTATAAAACATAAAATATTGAGTCCATGGAAATGTATACAATATTGACTGGAGACTATTGATACTCTCATACTTAGATAATTTAAACTTTTAAAAATAAAGCTGTTTATTTCAGTATTACTCATCATTTCTAAAATGCCAATATTGATAGGATAAAGTTGTTTAAATTAAAACCAAACATCATATTAAGAACAAATGCAAAATGCACCAAACAATTTGTTATACATAGTATAATGTATATGCTATGTATGTATATGTTTGTTATACATGGTATTAAGTATTAAGTTTCAATCTTAAACTTAATACTTAAATACTACAGTCTCCACTGTATTTCTATATATGATTATTTGAGCAAAACTGTTTTCTTCAGCATTGAAATGTTAAGGCACTCTGTTATTCTCATTAAATATACTAATTATTGTTAAAAACAATAAGATAGAATGCTTTCACATTTCAGGCATATTATCATTAATATTATTATTGTACTAATAAAAAGAACAAAAGCAACAGTAGTGGGATATACACCCTTATTTGCATACACACACAACAGGGATAGGCAAGTTGAACCCTCCACATATTTTAGTCTGTAAACTGCCATCAGTTCCAGCCTGCAAGGGCAACAGGAGGGAGCCATGGAAATCATAACCCAACACATTTGCAACCATTTGGGGGGAAATAGTTGCAAAGGCCATTCATAAAAAGATGGTCTGCTCTTACACTTCAGACCTTTAACAGAGATTACAGCCTTTTTATCCTGAAATCTCTCCTACACAGGAAAGGGGTTCAGAAAGTCAAGATGGCAGCCGTAATACGCAATCAAAACCCAGCCCTTTTTTTACATGGGTCACAATGCACATTAAAAAGGCTTTGATTGCATGTTTGACTTTTTTGACATACACACGTATGCAACACCCCAAGTATCCCATTGCTATAGTTAATCTGCTGCTACAGGATACAACAAGTGAGTGCCAGGAAGTCTCCTGTGTGTCCAGCATTAGAAGAAAGGTGTGATAAACAGATCAATCTTTTAAGAAGATAGAGTGTTACATGGTTTTCCTATGATAATAAATAAAAATAAAAATTGTTCGCCTCTCAGCCAAGAAAGGCAGGTAATTTTGTAGTAAAAAAGGGGCTTATTTTCAGTCTTTGGCATCCTCATTTACTAACAAGGATGAGGCAGTAAACAAGGGCAGTCTTCCATCAAAAATCCAGAAAAGTCCAAAATTCATTCCTAAAATAGATATGCAAGCAATCTGATTAATTTGGCTTCCCAAATATATTCAATCTAAGGAAGAACCCCTTAGCCTTTGCAAGTTGCTTTCACGATATCACTCCAAGCAACATTTCTTAAACATCCTTCACCGGAATGAACAAGAACTCCAAGAAATCTACAGCCAGGTGTTCAGTGGGGATGATAGGGGTTGTGATCCATCATGCCTGCAATGCACCCCAAAAAGGAAAGCCTGATGGGGAAAAAACTGTCTTTGAGAACTTATGCCCTATTTGATAGCATCAAAAAGAGTCGAGGGACCAGATAAGGCGACCTCTCGGAGCGACCCGAATCCCACTCCCGAGAGATTGGGGAAAGGCTCGGTTCCCCGGTTCAGCTGAATGCTGCGGGGAGCCACGGAGCTGCGAGGGGGACTCCTGCCCCGGATAGCCTCGCTCGGTTGGAGGGGGGGGCAGTTAGAGGGGCCGTGGCGGGATGGAAAGCCGCCGCCTGGGGACTTCTTCCCACTCACCGTTTTCCTTGCTGTAGCCCCAGGTCAGGGCTTCGCCGGTAGACTGCTTGCGCATCGTCTTCTCTGGCGGGCTTCAGCACCGCTGGCCGCGAACTTCTGACGCCCCAGCCATTTATAGGGCTCAGCGGACTCCAGCCTTGGGACAGCCCGGCGTCGGAGGCGGAGGAGCCGAAAGACCATTTACAGCCGGAGGCCGGAGGGGGGAGCTACGCACCAGCGCGGGTTTTCCCCGAAACCTGGAGCGTCCCTTCAGTTGGGCCTGTGGGCGGCTGGAAGAACGCTCAGCTTAAGAGAAGACGAGCTCAACCGATTTTTCTGTATCTTCCTTAGGATCCGGCTTGGGGATTGATGGTTGTCAGACAGTGGTTCCCTATACTTTCCAAATTCAGTATCAGAATTAATTGACATTTGCACATTGTTGGAAGGATCCTTCCTTCCTTCCTTCCTTCCTTCTCATACATGTGTTAGTGAAGACTAACCCATGTATGATCATACAAAACTTTGTAGCTAATACCACCTGATGAATTTGATGTTATTTCGAGAGACTAACTCTGCTACCTCTCTGGAAACAGAATTAAAATTGGGATTCCTACTATAGACCATACTGTTTGCTTATTTCAAGTATGAAATTATATCTTCATGAAATATCTCTAGCACAGCTAGTGCTTCCTTTATCAAATCTATGTGAAATACAAACTAAGAGCAGAACATATTCCAAGATAGATTGTTGTAATTATGACATCACCCCATAAACATTACTGAAATACAGAGACAAAGATACCAAACAAGCCTCTTGGTCTTGACGTACAGCATTAATATTAGTTTATCACTTTTTCAGCTTTTCAATTCATTCACACATACATTTCAGAGAGTCAGTTTGGTATAATGGCTAAGACATCAAGCTAAAGATCAAGATTCTGTGAGTTTGAGTCCTGCCTTACGCACAAAGCTGGCGGAGTGACCTTCAGCCAGTCACTCTCTCTTAGCCCTGGGGAGAAGGCAATGGCAAGCTACTTTAAAAACTTGCCAAGAATACGCCAGCGGGGATTTGTCCAGGCAGTCAAAACGTGAAATCTAGGTGTGTATGCACGTCTGTCCATCCGTACATATGTACAGTATATTTCTGAGCTCATTTGAATGAATGTAGCTACTCTGTAGGCTAAAAACAGATCAATCCCTATGGTGTAAGCTAAAGTGTTACAGATCAGTTATGCATCCTTGTTTTAAAAATAATGATGACAATAAGCAACCCAACAGTGCAATGACACTTAAGAAAGTAGTCAAGTGAGAGTTGACTTGAATTCTGTATTTGGATAAGAGAGGCCTGTCAAGCAGACCTTCACCTGGATACTAGTACTCTTCCCACTTGCCTCTAACAGCAGCACAAACCTTTCCAGGCATTCATTTTTCTCCTATGACCCTTTGATATTGCCCTTATCACTTCCATAGCCCTTGAATGAGACAGGATTACATTAGAGCTGTTTTTCCCTCTGAAACAGGACACCATCCCAGAACAGTCTCAAGATATAAAAAAAATATATTAGGCTTTGTCACCTGTTACCTTGGAGGGAAGTCAAGGGACCCACAGTGACTGGAAGCAGAGGCAATAAAAGCAACATAGAGGCTAGCAGTGGGGTGGGTGGGGGAACAGCAGAGTTCACAGTGATGGTTTTCTGATTCAAGAATGCATGGAGAGCAATATAATTCAGCTGCTTTGAGTTCGACTCTAATCTCACAAATTTACAGTTCCAAACTACGTATTTTATATAAATGTAAATTTCATTTTAATTGTCTTGTTCTGAGAGGAAAAAAATCAAAATCCATAACAATCAGTACCTTCAGGCTTTTTTATTCATTTTTAGCACATTGATTTGGTTTTCATATAATGCTGCAGGACAGAATGAAAAATGAAATTGTAACAATCTTCTCTTCAAATGAATAATCCTTTCTGCTGCAGTTCAAAACAGATTTACATATGAATAAGAATAGAGGAACAAATGTCTGCTCCACTAACTATTAGAGGCATGTTAATCTTATTCCAATTGAGCATGCTTAAGATGATTTTTGTGACCTTATTATATATTCCACTCGTTTCCTGTAGTTTCTCAATTTGCATATCCAGATTTCAATGACTGATTAATAATATAATAATAATTTATTAAATTTATATGCCACCTGACCCCCCAACAACTCTGGACAGTTTTTAATTGTTAAAACATTTTTAAAAATGAGAATAATACTTAAAAAAACAAAACAAGCACAAGACAAAGGAACAACAACAAAGAAAACAAACTCAGGGGAGAACAGAAAGAAAGAAAGGGGCTTAATCATTTTAACAGATTAAAACAACCTTCCAAAATTGATTTCTTCCAAGACTGTTGGATTCAGGTGACCAGCATTATAGGCCAACTCAGTTAGAGATACTGGACTGGGAATATTGTTCAAATTCAAGAAGTTTATTATTTATACAGTATATCACAATTGCATGGCACATAATTCTCTCTTGACATCAGCAACCTAGAGTAAGTTTGTCTTTGCCATGGGCATCTGTGAGGACAGCAAGCAAGTGACAAAACAAGTATGACAACATAAGCAAACCGATGCCTCTGCTTACTCCCTTGTGTCAGATGTTGAGACACAAGAGGAATATTTGCATAATGAGCTCATTACTCATTTATTGCCATGTTGATATCATTGGGGTTTGCTGTGAATGCCACTGCTCTTGACCTTGAAATCTTTGGAAATTGTTCATTGACAGCCATTGCCAATGAGAGGTAAACAAACTTTTGCACGGGCATGGAATTCTCTTTCTAAAAAGCATCATCAGGCACTGGTTAGTTTAATCTCTTTTTCTTTCCCCCAACCTGTGATTTTGCCGTTATACTTTTAATATTCTTGGAAAAATTGTTCCATTTAGTGCAATGTTTTCTTGCAGTTACCCTTAATGAACAATTAACTTCCTTTGTTTTTTTAATTCAGTTATGTTCTTTTTAGAGTTTAAGCAAAAGGTTTTTTGATTGAGAGAAGCTGTTTACTGGTTGCAGTTTGCAGCTGAAAAATAAGGCCCTAAAATAGGTGGCAGGGAAATTTGTGATCCGCATCAGGTGAAGCTAAACATGGCAGTTGGAGTGACTCCAGAAGGGAAAGAGGTGAGAAAAATCTCTTCCCTCTTTCCTAACTTTACCTGGCTAAATAATTCAATCAAGGTCGAAAAATACACTCCATAGAACTTTTGAATAATAAAAAAAGCATTTGCTATGTAAAATATCCTTTAGTTTCGTAAATAATAGTTGAAGGTTGGTTAGTTAGGTTTTTTTTAAAAGTTAAGGCAGTGCTTCACATGATCGTTTACTTTTTCCACTCCCTGATCAAAACAGTTGTATCTATATTAGTTTTCCCCTGTCCGGAATGTCATCTGATGTCATGGCGCAAATTGACAAGAGTTCTATGATTACAATGCAAAATGACTCAAGCCATCACCAATATAGCCCATGAGGTGATACTGACACCTTTTGTCGCACCCAGCCCAGTTCTCCTTTGGCTACTTCATGCCCCACAAAGCAACAGCAGCAGCCTGTAAACCACTTCCCTATTTTATCTGGAGCACCAAATGATACTCCCCATATTGTTCTCCTGCGCTTGATGGCAGCTGCCCTTTTTATTTGTCTTATGGTAGCAGGAGACAAAGAGAGACAGACAATAGAGAGGTACAGTAGTTTGAAACCCCACACCGCCTGTTAGCTAAAATGCAAAAAGTGTGGAAAGACAAGCATGGTAAAGTAACCTACATGAGAAATGTGATTACGGTAACTGCCCAGAGCTTTGGGAAAAATTCCTCTTTGATTCATCAAGTCTTACTCACAGGAGAATACATTTAAAAGGCTTAACTGCAGAAAAACTCACCAAATATCAGGCAAAATAATGAAAGTGTTTTGTTTCCACATTTTACAGTAACAAAAATATATTTGTAGCATAACGCCAGAAGTTGCTATAAAACTGGCAATCTGTTACACAGTACATAGTTGTAAAAAAAACCCAAGCATATTGTATATCTAGATCAGATATGTGACCACTATAAATGGTGTCTGCCTTATGGAACATTCTCCCCCAAGGTGAGATCATTTTCATCCCTATTTATTTTCTGGAAATCCCTCAAGACCTGAGTATGTCATTTGGCCTTGGGGCCTCAGGGGGCTGATGAAGTCTTGCGGTAGCTCCTTTTCTGGTCTAATTTTTTGTGGGTTTTATGCTTTTTAAACTTTTTTTTTTAATTTGACTACTTTTGACATGTATATTGTTCTTATATTTTTTACTGTAAACCACCCTGAGTCACTTCTTGTAAGATGGGCAACCAAAGAAATTTGATGTTTAAATTAAAATATTCAGTGTGTGTAAGTAACTTAATGCCTGCTAGTGCAAGGGTCCCCAACCTGTGGGCCATGGCCCACTACTATGCCGTGGCCCAATTGCCACTGGGCGGCATGAGTGGCTGGCCGGTGCAAGCACATCTGCATGCGCGTGCACAGCCCTACTAGCACACATGGCCCCACTCGCGTGAGCAGTGCCACAAGCATCAGGGGCAATCGGGGCCCCACTCAGCGAACATCGTCAAGGGCTATCACAGTCCCACTCAAACGAGCCTTGTGAGTGCTTGCGGCCCCACTCACATGAGCATCACCGTGAACGTCCGGCCCACAAAATCATCCCCTCTTTCCCCCTCCCCCCTGCTCTGGGCCGCCAACCCGGAAAAGGTTGGGGAACTCTGGGCTAGTGGATTCAGAGGATTCAGAGATTCAGCCCATTTTGTGTTATTTCCTATGAGGGGCTCTAATGCTAATTCCACAGCAGATCTGAAATGACAGGTAGCAGTGAGAACAAAACTTCTGTGTATTATTCTTCTGCAAGTAGATCTCAGACCATATAGTATTTTACACAGTCACAGTACTATTATATCATAATTATTATTGATAAGATTTGTATCCTATCCTTACAGCAAAGATGTACCTCACCATGGAAACAAAACCAATACCAGCTCCTCTAACAGTTGCAACTGTA